GCTGTTTGGAGTAGAAGCGTGGACCCTAACTGAGGCTATGCTTAAACGCTTGACAGCCTTTGAGATGTGGGTATACAGACGACTACTGAAAATAAGCTGGGTCGACAGAGTTAGAAATGAGGAGGTCCTTAGACGACTGAACCAAACAACACAACTGGTCAATATAATAAAGAAACGCAAGCTGGAATACTTCGGTCATATTATGAGACACCCTGAAAAATATGATCTTTTACATCTGATCATTCAGGGAAAGATCCAAGGTAATCGTGGTCCTGGTAGAAGAAGAACATCATGGCTGAAAAATCTAAGGCAATGGTATGGAAAATCAACTACATCGTTATTTAGAGCTGCTGTCAATAAAGTCACGATAGCGAATATGGTAGCCAACATGATATCCAACGATTGATAACGGTCATGGAACTAGAAGAAGAAGAAAACATTAAATTTTTGGGAATGCTGTTTGACACCATTTACACCATGGAAGTTTCATATTATTAGTCTAAAAAAATCATGCCAAAACGGTCCTAATTTAATGCGTACCTATGTCATAACAACTAGGGTTCAGACTACAAATGTCTCATTCGCATTTATAAATCACTGATAAGAAGCAAGTTGGATTTTGGATGCATAGTTTATTTCTCTATGAAAAAAACAGTGCTAAATCAGCTTGAGGCTATTTAAAACATGGCACTTCGAATTGCTACAGGAGCATTTTGTACAAGCCCTGCTACAAGTTCTCAGTGTTTAACCAGTAAATACTCTCTAAAATTAAGTAGAACGTACCTCTCCTTGGCTTATGCCTTAATTATATTTGCAGTACCATTACACCCCACCTGGTTATCATACAATTGCAGACCGTTTTAAAGAAGCATACAATAAAAATGGTGTAGATCCTCCGTTTTATGAAAGAATTAGAAGACAGATATCCTTACTTGACACCCATTTTCCAGAAATGTTCAAAACAAATATACCGACTCATCATCCTTGGACCATCCCACCTATATTATGTGACCTATGACTTACGTCATATAATAAATTTGAAACTCCCTCTATAAAAATTCGACAATGTCTCCTTAACAAACTTGCCAGCTTCCAGATTCCTTATCACATTGTAACCTCGGAAACCTTTTTTGGATGGTGCTAGAAAGGTCACCAATGGAGACACTGCGGACGACAGCCAGATGGTTGGTGGAGAGCGAGTCGTGGGTTCAAAACTAGCTTTTGGAACCAGGAATGGGTCCAACGGATGAAATAAGTAAAGATAGGATAAGAAATATTAGAAAAGATACACAAATAAACAACAAGATAGATGGGTAAAATTACTAAAGATACGATAAGATAGAAACAGGGCGCCACTCAATTTTTTAGGGTTTAAGGAGAAAACTAAGAAACCTTAGAAAAGAAAAGAGGTAAGGAACGATATTTAGGTTCAGAGATCAAACCAAGAAAAGATATTAACAGTTAAATATTCAATAAATTTGGTCAACACACTATATAAATAAATAATAAATATGTTAGGTATTATACCTACTTCCTACGAAACTTAATCAGCCTGATCTTTCGTCTGGTCAAAGGTATAGTAATAATTAAAAGTAAAAAGCAAATATTCAGAGTTATGGTTATATCAGAAAACTTGTTAGGAGTCGACAAGTAAAATGCATACATAAAACAAAAACAATATATTCAACAACACAATGATATCAGTAGCTGAATGTACACACAAGTAATAAAAATACACCATCAATTATGAAATGGTACATAATATAAAAATAAACAGTAATATGAATAATAAGTACCTTTACAAATACAACAATATAATAATGCACAGGTTCAATCATCAGCGAAGAGAGTCTAATGCTATATAAAAATATTCTATTAAAGTTGATTAAAGAAAGTCTCTCTTTGCTGTTTAATGGGCATATCTCGAGATATTGGGTTAAAAATGTATATATATATATATATATATATATATATATATATATATATATATATATATATATATATATTATATATATATATATATATATATATATATAATATATATTTATATATATAATTTATATATATATAATAATATATATATATATATAAATGTTAAATATATATATATATATATATATATATATAAATATATATATATATATATATATATATATATATATGTATTTAACATTTATATATATATATATATATATATATATATATATATATATAAATGTTAAAAATATTTAACGATTGATTAAGAACTAAAAGTTCGTAATTATTATTTGTTAAAATTTCTTAGTAGCTGATGGAAAGTTCGTAAGAAAATCTAGAATGTTCTTTAAATTGAATGCAAAATTCAATTACAGGTAAAGAAAGGGATGACTTTAGATTCGTCCAGATAATGAAAGATAATATAATACCATACCATATTATTTGCCCAGATAATTAAAGATACTATGATAACTTACAGGAAATTTTGATGACTGCTGCACTAATTCATTGAAGCTATGTACTATACTCTAATACTTTACGTGTATCCAACACTAAAGTTAATTAACATTAAAGGTACTTTATGACTATATTTAAGCTAATATGGTATAAGATCAAAAAACTCAAATATAAAAGTGTATACACACTAAGAAAGAAAAATGCACAGAGAACGGTACGATAACAGAGACGATACTATGAGCGAATCGTCCCACGAGAAGTAAATCTTTTCTTCTCGACTGCACACTAAGAAGTGAATCTTTCTTCTCCCAAAATTTACCAAACTACTCACAAAAAGGTGAGGGTATCTCCCACCTAAAAATTATGGGACAGTATCCATTTCCCAGAAGGTAAAAAGCTCTAACGAACATCTAACATAACGGTACCCTTCTAGCTAGAAACGTGATGAAATATAAATTCCCTTGGATTAAGTTTTATAGAGAAACATTACAACGTGCGTTCGAATATAATTACCGAATTTATGAAAAAGAACTCATAAAAGGATAAACTAAGAATTAGCCAAACGCGTCTTTAAATAAGTAGGTAGGTAGATTCTTCCGTCACATTTCCGTAGTTTTCCATAAAATATTCTAATCGTAAACACGACTATCGGCGTATCATCCACAGGGGTAAAGGAATTAGAAATAATTTATTATATTAATTATAAAAAAAAAACGTTACAACATATACACGGATGCTTCTAAAACCTCCTCTGGTGTAGGGTCAGCATTTATCACACCATCAATTACATCACAATTTAAGTTGCCCTTCATTAGTAGCATACACACTGGAGAACACTATGCAATTTAACAAGCGCTTATTCATATTATCGACCTCAACATTCCTAATTCTCTTATAATCACTGACTCCCTTAGTTCATTACAAACCATGAAACAATTGCATACCAGACATCATATTGTACTTCTCACAAAGAATGCACTATATTAACTCTATGAAGCTAACCTAAAAGTTCAGTTCATATGGGTTCCATCACACATCGGACTCCAAGGCAATGAAGAAGCAGATGTTCGCTCACTTGAGTCAATCGACAGTGCCACTTCAGTTAGAGTGAAAAAAGTGATAGCGGCGGACCTCAAATCATGTTTTAAACAAAAATTGTTAACTAAGTGGGAAAGTGCTTGGCAATATTCGCAATCAGTGCTACGTAAAATTAAACCCCAGACAACATCTTGGTGTGATATTGATCTTAACCGACAACTGTGTGTGAAGTTAACTCGGTTGTGTATAGGTTACACGAGATTGACCCATAGTTACTTAATAGCTAAAACAAACCGTTCTTTATGTCATTTGCGCAACAGTGAAATAATCGTACATCATATTTTAATAGACTGCCCTAAATTTAAATAAATAAATAAAAAAATAAATAAAAGAAAGACACACAAACTTATCATCTAACGAATTATGTAAAATTTTAGGTCCAAATTGTATTAATGGTTTATTTAAATATCTTAAAGTTATTAATGTACTACATACCATGTAATGTATAATGTATAGGTATAGCTAATGACCCCTGTGGTTGATGCTATTAAAATAAAAAAAAATAAAAAACAAATCAATAATCAGTATTTGCTGTCCACGGCAACTCCACGGAGTGCCAATACGTAAAAGCAAAATTTTCAGGAAACCATAAAGTATATTCTTTACACTTCTTTGGCGCCCAAACCTTCACTTCTAGTAAAAATTCTTCATTATTTGTTTTTGTTGGTTTCCAGTTCTTTAAATCTATTTGTTTGATATTCCTCTTCCTCTATGTGGCACTGTTTTTACGTGCATACAAATCCTTTCTTGAGCTTCCTAGTGGTCATCTCATGTATTAATGTTTTTTATTTTCTTCAGCCGAGCTTTTTGCAATCTTGTTTCACATTCTTATTTTGTTATATTGAGGCCCAATTAAGATTTTTCATCGAATTTTGCTACATGAGCTCATACCTCAATTTGTTACAAACCAGGCGATGAAATCTAAAAGACATAGTAACAGAAGAAAGGAATACCAAGAAAAGGATGTACAGATCATAGAAACATATTGAGGAAAACGAAAAGTCCATTAATACAATAAATATTTGTCGAAATGATGAACGGACTAGATAGAAGAGAACTAAATATAAGGACGACCTGGAACACCCTTGAGGTAAAAAATGTCTTGAGAAATACGAAGAAAAAAATGTTGTTTTCTTTAGACATTCAAATGCAAATTAAGATTCGTAAAACCGAATATTAATAACGTCAAATATTTATAATTATTAAAAATAGAAAATGTTTTTTTCTGGTTAATTATTTATCAACATTTTCTTCTAAAAGACATCCTAAGTAATACGTTGATATTTAGTTTATATAGAAAATAGTAAACATATAAAATTTGATATACTTCGATAAAGGGGTTACCAAAATTAAATATTTTATGGGTAATTTATTTCTATAAGTACATTTATGTTTTTCCTTTCAACCCAGTTAAAACTGCACTGTGTACATACTGTTTTTGTAAAGTTGTATATTTTCCTTTGTTGTAGCCGTATCGTACAACCCCCCTGGTACTTCCCAGTGCTAAAGTCAAACGTAACCAAGGACACACTGAAAGTTACCTTCGCCATCATCCTAACCCTTCAATGAGAGTTGCTCCTCAAAATATGGATCTAGATTATGACATTCGGCAAAAGGTAAATATCAGTTTTATAGCAATTGATAATAAATTCAAAATTTAACTGTTTGCTTTTGAAAAAAAATGTGTGTGAAGGAATGTTGGCTTTGAACTGTGTTTATTAGCCACAGATTATATTAATGAAATATTACTAACTTAAAACGAAATGTATCGTAGTATACTCGACTACCTCAAAATATTTAATATACAATTCGGATAATAACTCTTTGGGTGAGCCCATATGTTTGGTACATTCGAAAAATATTTGGTGTAAAAACAATACTGGTGGAAGTATTGTTACACCCACAAAAAGGGTTTTGGAATACTCTTTTTTTATATAGATTGTCCGGGAAATAACCATGATGAATTTTAATTCTAGTAATAGTGGAAGCATATAATTTAGAAGGAGAAAAGGTTAGTTGAGGAATGCTATTCGGCAGAGTTGGATGAATTGAATAATAGTGACTATTATGAGCATTAGTTACACTTTTATATAAAGCTTTCCATTTTTCCTAATATCTTTGTTTATCAGTGGCAAGAAATCGTTATTACTTTCAATCGTTGCTTCTATTTCAGTTTATAAGCACTCTTGGCTGCCATCTCTACTTCTTCATTACCGGTAATATGTGCATCCTTTAACCCAAACGAACTTAATATTATTATATGGTTCTGCATTAAAGGCCATAGTTTCGATTTAATGTTTAGTATTATATCGTTTTGCAGTGTTTAATTTGAGATCCAACGAGTGCTTGCAAAATCGATTTGATATCAAAAATTACAGCTCTCTTAATTGAATTTTTTTGCAAGGATCAATAGCTTTATTTTTATAGCTAAAGCTTCTACTAAATAGATTTTATATATATTTTAAATGCGGTACTTAACCCCCTCTGTGGCTCAGTGGTAAGAGCGCCTACCTTTAAACCTAAAGGTCGTGAGTTCGAATCTCATCTGGGTGGAGAAATTTTCGTTTATTAAAAATTAATGAATGAAAATAATTTCTATCCTTGTGCGATCGGTACTCACCGGAGGGACCGCAGACGTTCGGATACAATTAGCGTCTCTTAGCATAGACAGTGACGTCGACTTTGCTAAGTATCAAGACAATTACTCTACACTCACACACACACACACACACACACTACACTAGGTACCTGACTGTACCATGCCAATGATCTTAGTTGTCGAGGCATTAACTCAATAATAAAAAAAAATGCGGTACTTCTCCGCGTATTGGATGGCCGGTATAACAAATGCAAATTCCACGTTTTTTTCATTTTTGGACCCATTTGAATAAATGTAAAAATTACTTAACGCATTACTTTAAGACGGATTTTACAATAACAATATTTATACATTGTAGATTAGAATAATTGTAAAATATAATATGCTGTTTATATAACATAGTCTCAAGCTGATACTGAGAAAATGGATATTTGATACATTGTTTGATATATTTATTATACAAATTGGTATTAATAAAGGCATAGGCCAATGGGGGAGAATTTTTTTTTTTCAATAAGAATTTTTTAGGTTCGCGAGATTAATTGCTGCAATTTTATTTGACAGAAATGCATTATATGTCCTGTATTTTGTTTGCTAAATATTGTCTTCGTACAGATAAAAGAGGCTCTTGTGCTTTGACTGAAATTGCATAACTTGGTGAAGATTTCATTGTCCCTAAACATATTTTGACCGATTTAAGTTGTATTCTATCTAATTTACATACGTTAGTATTTGAGGATGAACTATAATATAATGTATACTCATAATCTAATAGAGAGCGAATATAAGCTTTGTAAAATAAGAGTAAGATATTTACGTCAGATCCCATTTTTGTTTAGATATAGCTTTAAGTGCATTCATCCCTTTCTTACATCCTGCTTGTAGAAAGTGAATATGATTGGACCATTATAATTTTCTGTCATAACACAATACCCAATTATTTGTAATGATCAACAATAGGTACAGTATAGCCACCAATGGTGATATTATCAACTAATAACAACCTGTGTCTGGTGAAACACAGGCAGCTGATTTTTCTGAAGCTACAATTAAGCCTAAGTTGACCAACCAAGGTACAGTACATAATATATCGTACTTAAATAACAATAATATTGTCATCAAAAAATTTTTGCAAGTTTGCCGTATAGACATTAAAAATAATAGGACCCAAAGTGGAGTCATGTGAAGACCATTATTGACAATGCAAGAACTGTAATGCATTTTTATAATCTCTAATAAAAACTTTTCTGTTCACGAATAGATTAACAATGTTGGCCGTAAACTTTCTCGTTAATTTCGATATTTACTATGTATGCATTCTTGGAGAATAATCAGATTTATAGCATCATAAGCGCGTTTTAAATCAATAAAGAGGTTCATTTTTTGATAAACAAGTCTGGATGTACAGAACCAGCTGAGAAACCGCATTGTATGTGCTATACCCACTGCGGAATCCGTACTGGGTGTGCAATAGAAGAGAATGTCGTTCTATCATAAATTTTAGTAATCAGTTTTAGTAATGCTGGGTAACAACAAAAGGGAACAGATAACGGAAGTAATGGGTTTTTGAGCGGTTTTAATATTAGACAAACAACTATATCTTTTAACTTATTTATGTATTCCTAATTCACCCACCACTCGTTATAAATATTTAGAATTGACACTTTTGCTATTATTGGTAGATTATACAATATTTTATATGTAAAACCATCCAACCCGCGGGATGAATTCCGAAAATGTTTTAATGATAATTCCAATTCTTTGTAACAAAAAGATTTTATCAATGCTTCCGATTGAGTATAAAGTACCGACTTCTTAACATTATTATAAAATATTTTAGTGGAGGACCAGGAACACATATGGAGGTGTTAGTTTATCAAAAATTTTTTAAATATTTTCTTTATTTAAGATGGGCATTCCATTCTGAATTAATTTGTTTTTATTCTTTCTAATAGTGTTCCAAATATCTTTTAGTGGCGTGTTTTTAGAGATACGTTTAGTTTTAGCGGCAATATTTTGGTATGTAAGAAAGATTTTGTAATTGGCTTGATGTTTATATTTATGTAAGGCATTATTTCTTACACTAACTAGTTGTGAACATTCCTCACCCCACCAAATATGTTTAGGAGTCCATGGTTGAAACGGAATTTTAATTGGCATTGATTTTAAAGCACAGGAAGCTGTCACAGCCATTTGATAATTATTTTGTTTGTATACCGCTTTAAATGCTGAAGTTAAAAATCTCTTATTAAAATTCAAAGAAAGCTTTAGCTATAAAACCTTTTTAAATCATAACAATCTTTCCACTTGTCGGCAATAATTTTTATATTTTATCGCCATCACTTCAATTTATTTTCTTTATTTTAACGCGTAAGTGGTGTAATAAAAATTGATGAGGTTCACACAGTTGACAAAGAATCTGAGCGCTGAACGGTCGGTATCCGTGGCGTAATATTTTTTAATTTTGTGTATGTATAGATTGATGCTTATAAGTGATAATTTTTGTTACATCATTTTTTAAAAGCACGCGATATGTTTTGTTGGGAACTGGCAAATATAGATTTTCAATAATTTTGAAGTTTAATTTTGCAATATACGAACCGTGTATTTTATACGCAAATTCGGGTAGAATTGCGTTGGTACACACTTGACATATTTGGCGACCGTGACAGGACTGTTTCCATAAAATTAATCGTGGTTGTATACGAGGTGTAACAAAATTGAATTGACGATCACCGGACAAACTTTATCGCGTTTCGCCTGTAACTTTCGGTAAACGTGTGTGGTTTTGACCAAGTTTGCAGAGAAAAATGGATCAAAAGAAGAAACATCGCAAAGTGCTCCGTAGCACCTTCACGAGGACGGCGAATGAAATGGATAAGCTTTTGTCGGCGCCGGAGGGTGAGATACGATCAATTAAAGTTTCCTTGGATCTATTACGCCAAAAAATTGAAGACCTAAGGAAAAGTGATGAAGAAATCTACGGTCTATTACTAAGTGAAGACGCTAGTGAAGAAGACCTTTTAGCAGAAATTGAGTGTAGTGACAACTATAGCAAGAAGTTTTTGTATCTCAGTATGCAGTTCGAAGACCGTATGCAGTCAATAGTGACAGGTGCAGTGGAAGGTGAGGTAGCTTCTGGGATATCTGATGATAGGAGTAGTTTAGACAGCAGACGCGGTAAGCGAAAATTTAAATTACCTACATTAGAGTTCAAAAAATTCGACGGGAATATTAAAAACTGGTTGCCTTTTTGGTCACAATTTCAAAAAGTTCATCATGATCCTGACATAGATCCGAACGACAAGGTCGAATATTTGATTCAAGCTACTATACCGGGTAGTAGAGCTAGGCAACTAGTGGATAGTTTTCCCGCCACTGGAAGTAATTATGATGCTATGATTGACTGTCTTATTTCGCGTTTCGGTCGGGATGACTTGCAGATCGAAGTTTATGTACGGGAATTACTTAAATTAGTAATAAATAATACTGCGTCTGGCAATAAATTAGATCTATCCTTGTTATACGACAAATTAGAGACTCAGTTGAGGGTTCTGGAAACACTCGGTATTAAGTCGGATAAATACGCGGCTATGTTATTTCCTTTAGTTGAATCCTGTCTACCTTCAGATTTATTAAGAGTTTGGCAACGATTGCCAGAAAGTATCGGATCACAAGCGTCACTTAATTCTGCCGGCATCGCAAGCATCGAAAATCGACTTCAGAGTTTAATGTTGTTCTTGAAAAAGGAAGTTGACAATGAACAGCACCTTTCTTTAGCAGTCGAGAATTTCCATTTGCATGCTGCTAAAACCGAAGATTTTAAATCTACAGGCCCAAAAACAAGGAGACACGAGGAAAACAAGCACAAGTCTCCTTCCGCGATGGGTTTAGTTAATTCTCACACTATCTATAAATGTGTTTTTTGTCAGAATTCGCATGAAAGCAGCCACTGTTTTAAAGCACAGAAATTAACTTATGACCAAAGGAAAAATATTTTGACAGAAAAAGGCGCGT